TTGTATAGCTAAAATCGTACACAAGGTGGATCTTTAAAATTTAACGATCTCTTTTTTTTCTTTTTAGTATAAAGTGTATTATTATATGTAAGAGATATTTTTTGTTACGTTCACGACGGTATCACTTGGCATTAATAGTTCATTTACTCGCCCTTATTTAATTAAGGTATTATGTTCCACATAATGTTTGCCATTCTTTACTTAAACATTGAATAAAATATTCAAATCAGTCTCTTGAATAATATCCTTTTCCTCCCTCGCTTCATTCCTATTCACTTAAAAATGTTCGCAAGTTCGCCAATGAGACACAACGACGTTGCTGGTATTACGATTTTTATACGAGCATACAATACATGAGTTATCGACTGGCGTTTACCGTTTTACTACATGCTATACTGAATCCATTTCTAGTAATTATATATCATGTTGATCACAATGTTTATTTACCGAGATTTTGTCTCCTGTATTAATAATACCACTACTATATAAGTCTTACATAGAAATTGCCATCGAATTGGCTAACTATTTTTCTTACTCCTGCTTAATATACAATATTTTTGCTCTAAAGCATACTTGAAATACAATGAATCTCGTCCTTAGAAAAGTATTTCTTTTTTTACTTCCTCTGCAAGCCCTTTTTCAAGTATATACATATACTAATTGTTTAAACGTCAAATGTAAGGAAATGAAAGTAGGTGAAACATACGCTTAGTTTATATATAACACTGCGTTAAAAATGGCTTTGTCTTCGAATTTTAATTTCATTATGTTCTATTATCGTCGTCTGAATTGTGTAAATATCACTTTAACTTCTTTATGAAGATATATACTTTACATTATAAAAAAAAAAAAGAAGAAAAAAGTTAGCGCACAATAATATTGCTTTACGTAAATATATAAATCTTAATACAAAAATTACTAATTAGTTATTAAAAAATTAAATTAAATTATACATCATTTTTATACACGTTTGTAATATATATTATATCTTTTTTATTATCTTTATGTAACTTTTGAGTTTTTTTTTTTTTTATTATTCTTGCTCTCATTGAATCTTACGTTAGATTTTTCATCGCTCTACGAATAATATATATGCTATAGTATATATGATTATGTAAGTTGACGAAAGCAACAAAAAAAAAAACAAAAAAAAACAAAAAAAAACAAAAAAAAAACAAAAAAGTGGAACATCGCAACACGTGCGCACGCGCGTGATCATTGGCGTTCCTTACTAGAAGACGTCTCTTTGCACGATAATATATGAGGTTTAAATAACGCTTACACGTGTCATTATTAACTACAATACTACAAGCAACACATACCGAAAACATATTTTTATTAATGTACACATTTGCATATATCCATCTGTTTTCATCTCATTTTTACCAATGGGATTTTCAACTTGGACCGCAGGTTCATATATTCCTCCTTAACTATAGTAATCTATTAACTCTTAGATTAATAAATATCCGTCAAGTGGCAAACTTAATTTATCAATTAATATATTGTCAAGTAAATTTTATGTAAAATATGACGACTTTTTTGTTCTGCTTTATTCGTTATAAGGTTTTTTTTTCTTTTTGATTGATCTCGAATTGGTCTTAAAAAAAGATACCGACATAAGTGCACGTGAAAAGTTTATCTCTGTATCAAATTAATAAGGAAAAATACTTTTGCACAATATGTGAATAAAATAACGGAAAAAATGAAAAAATTCATTTAATAAGCCTAGACATAATAGTGATAAGAGGAAAATGGAAGATAGCGCAAAATTGTTTGATCTTTAGTGAAATTTATCGACATTTGATATATATAAACAAATCGTGCGTTAATTCACTCACGCATATACATTCGTTGTTCATCTTCTTGTTTTTTCGTTAGTAGTTAGTAAGTACGTCATAGAATGTAATATTCTTCGAGACTGATTGCTGTAACATCAGCCAAAACATCAGCTAAGCACAATCTTCCTTATTTAATGTTGTTCGCGACGAATAAATCACGCTTTTTTTTAAATGTTCGAATGAATTAAAATGTCTAAATACTAAAGTTTTTGTACCTTTCACCAGCAATCCATTTTTTACTAGATTTTTTCTTTCTTTTTTGTCATCGATTGATTTCCATTTTTTTTTTTATCGCGATGATAAAAAATGTACGCCATACTATTGTGCGAGACTGTTACAATACAATGATACTGTATTAGCATAATACAATAGATAAAAAATTTAATGATTTGTATTGCCATTTGTTTTTCCGTAAAATAACGATAACTCAATGAACATTAATAGGTGTTCCAAACTTTCAAAAGCAGCAAATGGCAATTGCTGAAAAAATATAAATATTCGTCCTTGGTAGCCTCGCATTTCGCAGCATTTCAAGGTGTGTTGAAATTTTCATATTTTATTCATTAGCTTCGTATCTCATAATAATCGAAGTCAGCGTGATTTTCTGGTCGCACGATAGCCGTTTTCTTTTTATATTTTTATCTAATGAACCTTATCTACTAAAGTTCTTCACGTGAATTTGTTTTATTACTGTACACTCGTAAAATTAAATGATATAGACAATGTATTTTAAACTGCTAGAAAACAACAACTACAACAAACACAAAACACTCGAGCTTTTCATTTTTAAAAGTGAAAATCTAGTTTTATCTTTCTTTAAAAAAGATCTTTTCGACGCGACAGAAAAAGTGCAGATACGTATTTTTTGTATCTTATTGAGCTTCTATTTGGTACAATAATAATGAATGAAAGAGAAATCGTGTATTATTTTCTATGTTTCCCCGTCTTGAATCAATGATTAGTTGTTTATTAAATTCGTAACTACTAAAAACATTATAAATCTTATAAATCTGTCGTTTGTTTTTCAATGTGAAAAACATAAATGTATCGTATCATAAATACAGTTAGAATATCATAAATATGGTTATGTAATATTAGTATTTATCGTTGTTATATTTTATTTTACTATTCACTACTACCACTATTCAGCCATCTTGTAATTTCGATGACTTGGATGACAATATAACATAGACAAAGGAATTCCAGGCTTTATTATGCGACCAGATTTTGTTTTGTTCTCGAATTTTTTACGCAATATTTCGATTAATTTGTATTAAACAAGAAGCGTACTCGCTATTGGTAAAAATTAAATAAAGATGCAGAAAAGAAGATTACAATTATCAATTAACAGAAAACGAATCAACCTTGAGCTATTTTCCATTTTTCTCGTATAAGTGTTAATATTGTTTTTCAGTATATGATTTTTTTCTTTTTTCTTTTTTTTTTTTATAACCATTTATATTTGCTTATATTTGAGTTCAAAAGTTTCATTCCTTAATCGACATTATACTTTTGGACTTTATGTTGTTTGAAATGTATTACTTTTATTATAAGTTTTGCAAACGGGATGAGGTAGTCGTACATCTGCTGTATCGTGATGTGATCCAGTAAAGTAGCAAACTCTAAAATACTAATGAAATTTGTACTTGACCTCATAAATAAGGTATTTAATACAAAGCAAAACATAGAATAAAAGAAATATTTTCCCCGAACTCTAAAATACTACTGAAATTTTAACTTACCCATATAAATAAGGAAATTAATACATAGCAAAACATAGAATAAAAGAAATATTTTCTTCGAAGGCAAAGCGCTACTCTTTATTTACCAAATCTTCTTTCATTCGCTTCAATTAGCACTAAAAATATTTGATAATACGCGTATATGTATATATTTGTTTTTGTTTTTTTTGTTTTTTTTTGTTTTTTTCATTTTTATTGCATTATTTACGAAAAAAAAATTTTCAATTATGACAAATGGTTGCTTGTTTTTTTTTTGTTAAGCTAGATTACGTAAACCAAGTCAATAATAAGCTTCGACGAATCTGTCGACATCAGCTAGATTTGCTACATCTCTAAATAACTATATATTAAGAGAATGGAAAATGGGAAATCCTGATAACAATAATGAAGCTGTAAAAATCAAAGCTATTGAAATTGAAATTATTCAGAGAAGAAAAGCAGATTAATGGATTGATTCTCTCGACTACAAATATTACATAAATGGCAAAATTAATTACTAGCTACGCCAGTAGTAGGATTCAAATGTGTTTAATTACGTAGCTTTTATGATATGCATTTTCACTATTGATTCATAATGCTACACACTAGGAAATTGATCTTCTCAACGGAAATAAGTTAAAATGTGTGTTTTTATTCTAGCACGGCATTCTTTTTCTTCTTTTTAATTTAATGACTTTTGTGGCGTATAATAGTCAAAATATATAAATAATTTTCCAAGTTTACCTCCAACTCTGTGTTATCCTAGATTCCCATTTGCCATATATATAAACGAAAATAATAAAGATATGTTCATGTTTATTCAAATACCGCAACGGCCTTTGCTCGCATACACAATATCAAACGCTTGTGTGTGCGACCAAACTCGTATGCGCCCACATGCACACGCACGCACACACATACGCACGCAAACACGTGTAATATATCTCGAGTGGCCTAAAGTGCTTGCAAGGAGGTAAGTTTATTATATCATTTTATTTCTTTTCTCTCCAACGTGTAATAGTCGTACAATAACCGTGCAAATCGTCGTGCAAGAACGATACCGCGTAGAAATAAAAACAAGTGTAAGAGGGGTGATAGTAATAGTAGTAACGGGTAAGGAATATAATAACAAAGGAGGGCAATTTCTTAAATTACCCTTGCTTAGAAAAAGGTAAGTAAAAGTTCGTGTGTGTATGTGTGTGGATCGAGGCGGGGACAATCGAAAAAAAGAAAGACTGAACTTGCGTAGTTCTGTTTCCATTTTTCCTTGTGGTCCTTGTCGTGCGAACGAGGTCCCGCTGAAATCGCTTAATCCCCGAGCGTGGAAAAGCGACGCTAATTTATGTACAATCGCTGTTGTTTACGCTCGCCCGATAGAGAGATTGAGAGATTGAGAGAGAGAGTGAGTGAGAGAGAGAGAGAGAGAGAGAGAAGGGGGGGGGGTGGCGAGGGGCGAATGAGGGAGAGATCGTGCGTGCGTGCGTGTATGTGTTCCGAATGCGTCGCGTGTAGGTGTTAATATTGATTTCGTGTACATGCGTCCGTTCGTCCGTTCGTCCGTCCGTCCGTCCGTTCGTCCGCTGTGTGTGCGCGTGTGTACAGTAAGCGAGCGAGATGGAAGAAGACAAGTGTTGGGAGGGGGAGAAAATTGGCGCGCGTACACACACCCTGGCCTGAGATCGGAGGACTAGCATTTGCGGTTGTTATTGGCGCCGCTGTTGTTGAGTCGGAGTCGGTCTTGACGCCGCGGACGCCGACCCTTGCTGCTGGAAACCTCGCGCACCTTATTGCCGTGCTCCAGCCAGTTGCGCTTAGCCGACTGCGAAGATCGTTTTTCTAGCATCTGTGAACGGAGGACAGAGCGATGTATTAGTTAGATTAACCAATTGTAAGCGGTTGTCTATAGATCTTCGAGACAGCCTAGATATTTCTAGATGATGATAATGACCTTACGACATTTTACAAGAACTTGGTACAATTATCAAAGTTTCATTCAGAATACATGAGAACTTATTTCTTTTTATTCTGCATACTTATATATCAACTCATTTCAATTTAGAATATATAAATTCTTGCTCACAATTATATGTAAAAGATCGTAGACCTGAGTATCACTTAGCATAATAATGATTCAACTATGAATGCATCTTACTTTTTCTTCGGCAAATTACAGTGAAAGTATTGATATCTCGTAAAGAGCAGGGGATATGCTAAATTAAATAGTTAGGTATTTTTACAAAAAAAATTTAATGACGAATGTTGAAGCTTATGATATTTCCGTTAAGAATTGATTAGCTCTCGAGCGTAAAATGATTTCTGAATTTACATGACTTAAATTTACATTTTAAATTATTTTTGAAAAACAAATTCCCTTACCTAATCAATTGATTTAGTTTAGATGGTTAAAATTGAAAAGACTCGATACCTTTATACTCGGATTATTTCACAATCGGGAATTATTTAATCTAAAAAAGAAATTGTATTCTAGAGAAATGTTAATATCCTACAGAAAACCTCCCTCTACTTTCGGATTTGAATTTATAAACAAATATCCAATTATTTTAATCAATAGTCTAATGGCATTAAAATAAAAATGTTATTAAACAAAAGAAACGCGGTCTTATTAGAAAGCAATAGATTATGATAACGAAATTAATTACATTCAAATAAATTATTAACGCAACGTAAAATTTATGATCAGTAACAGTCAAATGGTTTATAAGAAAGCTACGATTAGCATAAATCGTTTCAAGTATTAAATCATTAGATTTAACGATGAGGCCTTATCGTCTCTGAATGCCTCACCTTCTGGGCGGAGCGTATTTGTACGATCCTGACGTTCTCGTCACCCCGCACATTTCTTAGCTCCCTAACACTGGGTCTTCTGGATGGCTGTTCAACAGCAGCTCCAGCCTTCTGCTGTTGCTGTTGCTGTTGCTGTTGCTGTTGCTGTTTCTGTTGTTGTTGATGTTGCTGTTGCTGCTGTTGTTGTTGCTGCTGTTGTTGCTGCTGCTGCTGCTGGTGGTGGTGATAATGGTGGTGACGATGGTGGTAATGATGGTGGTGTCGATTTTCGCCTTCGACCTTGGTTGGCTTAGCGACAGCAATGCCCGCAGCAGTAACGGCGGTGGCCGGTCGCTGATGCTGCTGCGTTGGCACCTGGAGATTGGCGTTACGCGGTGCTAGAGGTAACCTGGTCCCCGGTGTCTTGATATTTTCAGGCACGGGACTGCAGCGTTTCGTCGAACGCTGTTTCTTAGGCTTATCGGCGATTGGCGTAGGTCCCGCCGCCCGGTACACCGACATGCTTGGATGCTCGATCAGTAAGTCCTCCAGGGGCGACGTCTCCACATGCACGGGCCCGGGCTGCGTGAAACATGCAGGAGGTGTCACGTACCACGACTCGTCCAGACCCGCGTAGCCCTCACCTATAAACGAAGCCAGAATTGCTTAAAAGGGCATTTCGAGCTTATCGATGTGGTACCGATGTGGTACCGATGTCGTAACAATGTCAGCTCTACATCTCAATTCCAAATTACGTACATTTGAAATTTAAAAGTACAAAATGGAGCTTTGAATGTACCGCGTGCTAATCAACGAAATAGTAACAATTAAGTTATTAAGATTAAACAATTATGATTGAACAAATAAACAATTAAACAATTAAGACAACCGAGTTCGTAATGAAGAACTGGTTTTATAAATGTATTTTGATCGGTGAGAAATTTCACATAATATAAATTAAAATTCGTAAAATTTATCATTCAATAATACACGCAAATTATTGTAATAACATTTGAATACGATGAATAATAAAAATTGCAGAATTTTTTTAAATTCATTTCTATATATATATATATATATATATTTCTAAGTTACGTTTCATAATATTTTGCATTGAAAATTACGTATTTGTTGGACTAAAAGGAATTACTGAGCTGAAATTTAACATAATTTATTTAAAAGTCTTATTCGTAGAATAATTATATCAATGCAAAGAACTTGCAAATCCAAATAGACGATTTCCTCGAATATTTAAAAATCAACTTACTCAGTTATTATATTCTGTAAAAATGTCACAATAATTTTAATTATCAGTACATATTCTTTAAAATTTCTTTAAAAAAAAAAAAAAACCTAACGACCTCATTTTTAAATTGCAAATGCCTCTGTTATGATCAACAGCTTGGACATCATAAATATAAATACGAGTCTTTAATTACAAGCACCTGCTTAGAAGAAAATTAGACTTATTAACTAGTAATTCGTATAGTTTCGATGAAAACAAATTATTTGTTTAATCAACAAACATTCTCAATTACTATTTGTTTATGCAAGGATAAACATAATCTTTTACAAGAAGCGATGAAAACTAATCAACTTATCTATAACCGAAATTTCATTAAAAATTTATTTTACTCATTGCGAAAGTTCATTTACTTATATTAAAGCCGAAAAAATTAATCTCACCATTGCGATCAATGAGGATCCATTCGTTGCCCTCAACCTCAACTTGCCGCAGCCGCGCCTCAATGGGGATGGAGGTGATTTCCTTCGCTGCTTTCTCCGCTTCATTCTGCGAAGGTGCGTCCTCATCTTCAGCACCGGAGGCAGAACCTCGCAGCAAGTAACTTGCCAACCTGCTCAACATCCCGTCCTCCTTGCTTTTTCCCTATCTGCAAAAGCACAGAAAATGTTCTCTTGTTAATAAAACACGTGATTAACGTAAGGCTCAATTCTAATGTAAAATGTTCGATTAATTGGAATTAATCGATAAATACTTAATCATTTGATAATATTGTGTATTATGAAATATGGAAATTGTAAAGCATTGAAAGAGGCACTAATATGACTTGACTGAATAAGATCAATTAGCTCCTGTTATTGAGAGTGTAAGAACGTGTGTGTTGATATTCATTCATTACATCTAATATTTAATGACCAACGTAAATCGATAATTTTTTATTTATATGTAGATTATATGTAGGTATAATATACTAATGCCAATGCATGAAATGTATAATTTTAACACATCATTAAATAATTTATGCATTACTTTGAAGTTCAAAATATAATTAGATATAATAAGATATAACGTTTCATGCCACTTCAATAGAATGGATAATTCATTTTACGAGCATTTCAATTTCTAATAATTTTTACGAGTTTACTTTTCATTTCAACATTTAAAATTGTCTTCGTCCCTGAATCTGTTTTCTATTCTATCCTTTCATCATTTAAATGACAGGATCAGGATATTAAGCCCTAAACAGACAATTTAATAATTAAACTTTTCAAATATCAGATAATCGAAATATATTTAACAATAGTAACAATCGATTTGTGCTAATACCAGGAAACGTACTTGATAACTTTTTCTTGGCTAATAATCATGTTTTTCCATTGACCTAAAACTAATTTTTTCATACAAATTGATATATATATATATATATATAATTGTAAAAGTATATCGCCATACAATTTTAACACGTAATAAAATTAATATTAAACATATGACAGTATTTATCGTCCAAGAGAAAAATTCAAGTGCCACTTAAAATAGCTTCATGTCGGTATTTCTATTTGCTTAATGAGTGAAAAATAAATGACGCAGGAAATGATTCGTGGCTTAGAAATGTATGATGCAACACTTTCTTTTAAAGCCCGATACCAGTGCTTTTTTTTTATGGATGACAGTGGGTGTGACCTAGTGTAGAAATGCAGCTTCGCGGAATTGATTTTTCTATTTTACGTCAAGTCAATTGGCAAATCTTTCAAGGTTGGCATCGCCTCGTTCTATTATTCATACGTGAAGCTGCAATTACGTTTTATACAATGAAGCGCAACATGCAGAAAATGCTTATTCTCATGAATATTTGCGACGTAAATGAATTTGAAAAAATGTGTAATGGAGAAAAAGTACATTTTTCCTTTGTGCCAGAAGCCGATTTCTACAATTATTTTTATGAAATTACTACCTCGCTTCTCTCAACGTATGATTCTTTTGGTTTATACGCTATAAACATATTAATATGTTTTAAATACTCTGATTTATCTATCTTTAAAATACAAATTTGATATATTTTTTTTATTTATACGTCCTTCATACTTCATCTATTATGTGCATTATATATTGATTGATATTATAACGTGTCTAATATAGTTTTAAATATATTTTCCGATATTGAGAAGCACCGATTAGTTAACATAGAAGAACAATGCTATCATAAAAGTGTATATAATTTAAAATCCAAGAATTAAATAACGAGAAGAAACAGCCAAAGATACTTTATACTATAAATAAATATTTTATACAATGCGAAATTAATTAACGAAGATTAAAACTTTATTGGTATTTGTAATAAGAAAACAACAGTTGATTTTATTTACAGAAAAAATAATTTATTACAATTATGTACTAGTGGATATATAAAAAGTGGTGGAAAATAAAAAGTAATCTCGGAGAAGACTAAATATTTAATGGCGAAAATGATTTGGTATCACAATGATGTTTACAATGCGTTATTAAAAAATATTTATTATTTATATGTGTCGCGAGTATAGTTTGGCTTTTGTTTGCCGTTCTTAGATCCACTTCATAAATTTCCTAATAAGAAATACGATATCTAGCTACATTTACGGAATAAAAATTTAATTCAGGAAATTACTTAATTATGTAATTTAGTTAATCGATTTTGTTAATGACTTGAGTATTGTTTGTTAAAAAGTCCAACATGAAACGCAGGAGTGTTACTTTCTAAATCTGGCTCATTAGGAATGAAAATAATGAACGCAACGGTGAAAAAATGAAGGAAAGAAAGGTAATCCACCTGCAACGTATATAAAATTATTTGCCAATTGACCTAAAAATACCGAAAACTCATGGCAATTTATTTTGATAACATTACCTGAATAATCTCGACAACCCCATGAGTAATACAAAAATTTCCTTCTGACTTTATCCGGGTTTTATTAGTTATGCTATGTTGCGGAAATAATTGCGGAAAGTATCGTAGATGTAATGACAATATCAACGGTAAATATTCGGTAAATAAGTAAGCTCTTAAGAAACAATATATTTCAAAACACCGGTGCTTATTGCCCTGCCTCTGCCCTGATTTTGCTAAATCTATAACAATTCATGTGTCATCCTTTAATGTATTTATAAATATTCGAATGAGTATATTTTTAATTCTATACTAAAAGCTATAATACATTTTCATACGAAAAAATTATCGCTGCGTGGACATTGTAAAAGTTTTATAAAAGAAAAATATAAAAGGCTATTATTTGACTTTCACCTACTTATTGATATATTCTTCGATAGAAGTAAATTATATGTCAAATTAAAGAATAGTATAGAAACAATTGCAAAATTCAATAATAAAGAGTGCTGGTAAAGGTCTCGTTCGTAATGAAGAAAAAAAAGCAGACAACGAAATAATCATAATAGCGACTGACGATTAATCAATCACTTTACGAGCCTTGGACTCATGTTTTATTTTATATTATTATTATTATTATTATTATTATTATTTTCTTTTTCATTCGCTGCAAGACTATATAACTGATAATTGGATTACATTTATTTGGAATTACATGATATAATGAATATTATAATTGGCAATTCAACAATATTAAATATTATATGGTGAACTTATTTGAAAATACAACATGTTAGTTAATAGGTAACTAATTTAAAGTTCTCATTAAAAAATTTAAAGTATTCATGGTAATAAATGGTAAGTGAAAAAGTAGATATTATAAAAATAACGCACACTTCTAGTTGAAAGTGAATAAAATTAAAAACAAATTGTGCGCATTTGTTCGAAAGAGATTTCTTTAACGATGAGTAATTCCTCGTCATTTTAAAATACATACTATGACTATTATTATACTATAAAACGCATTGATAATAAAAATAATGTATTTACGTATGATTGTTTAATTGCCAAATTCATATTTTGCTTTCCTGAAATTTAATTTGTCAGATATGATAGCCACGTAAAAGCGAATAGATTTTAGGAATCGGTGCACACCTATGTATACGAAAATATTCTAATACTTAACTTTGCCTGAGTATCGCTAATAATTAATGATCGAACTTTCGTATTGGACAAACTAGGATAATAATATACATTGAATATGGGCGTTAAGTAATTAAATTAAATAAAAGAATGAATATAGAATATAAGCGTCATAATTCGAAATTTCTTTAATAATTTTCGAACGTCGCATGTGATTTCTCGAAGAATTTTAAGATATTTTAACTATCGTTTAACCTGCAATTTTTAAATTATTGATTTGAAACGATGCCGACAGTGTTCAAAATTTACTTTAATCGTCAAATTAGCAAATTGACAATAATTAATGCCAAGAAAGCATTTTTAGATTTAAGTATTTTCAGAACTCATTAAACCAAAAAATAAATAATTGACAGTAAATAGTTTTCACCCTTAATCTGAGAATTTTATTGATATAACATTTATTGATTGTAAAAAATTCTATTGAAATCACCAAAAAAGCGTTGAATTCATCTAGTAATAATATTTAATTGCACATAAATAGTATGAAAGGAAGTCTTACTCTGTCAACAAAAACTCTTTTCTAGGCACATTCACCATTTTCCCGTTCACGACACTAAGCACATCTATCTATCTATCACATCTGTCTGTACTTTCGTTATTTTAATGTTTCAGCCAATTCAAACGAACAAAGGATGTAAAAATTGCAATGATTAGAGGTAATTTGCTGACTAATATCATTTGTTGTTATTACATTACATCTCCTCGCAACTACATAAAAATTAATCTTCTCTGTAAATTTATTTCTTAGAAAAATTTTCCTTAATCGACTCTTTTAAATTTTCTTTGAAAAAAATTCATCTACTCTATGATTTTGATGGAAAAATTCAAATTATTCTTAATCATTAATCTCGATTGTAAGTATCAATACTTTTATTATTATCGGTGCATTATAATACATACAATCCTATATAAGTAATTATAAAAAATAGCGTGAATAAACATTTGATCTTCCATATTAAGCTATAAATTATGTATAATTATCTCACAATAACTTTCATTCAAATAATTCAATTTTCAATTTGCTCGTTAATAATTAAATTCTTGCCGGCGTACTTTAATTATTGAAGAAGTATTGCTTAAATAATTTGGAAATGATTTTTATGATTTTTAAAAGTGTAGTTACACTTATAATCGAGCGTACCTTAAAAATAGATGAATGACGTAAAATTGAAATTTTTAATGTGATTATATTTCTATTGTATCTAAAAATAATAGAAATATGGTATTTTTTTTATATAAATTGACTTTCAATATTGTGAATCTTAAATGTTGATTACATATGTAAATATAGTGTACAAGAATTTCGTTACCCTTCCTCATTTTCTATACATTAATCAATTGTTTTAAAAAGATACGTAAATATATTTATCAAAAATTAAGTTAATTAATAAATATAGCTTAAATAAAAAGCTATTAAAAAAAAAAAAAAAAAAAAAAAAAAATTTATATATAATATAATTATATCAATAATCTTTATAACTTATAAGCTAATATTTAAATAATATTGAAATAACTTTCCTTGAATTCATATTTTGTTGAAACATTGCCATAACGCAGTACCTCAGATAAGTAGAACAAGAGAAAAAATG